AAAACACATTATATAAAGGTTAGAAATTGATTTGCATTTCAGTGAGTGAAATAAGTATTTGATTCCCAAGCAAAACATGACTCAGTACCTGGTGCAGAAACCCTTATTGGCAAGCACAGAGGTAAGACGTTTCTTGTAGTTGGTCATGAGGTTTGCACACATCTCAGGAGGGATTTTGGTCCACTCCTCTTTACAGATCCTCTCTAAATCCTTAAGGTTTCTTGGCTGTTGTTTGGCAACTCAAAGTTTCAGCTCCCTCCACAGATTTTCTATAGGATTGATGTCTGGAGACTGGCTAGGCCACTCCATGACCTTAATGTGCTTCTTCTTGAGCCACTCCTTTGTTGCCTTGGCGGTATGTTTCGGGTCATTGTCATGCTGGAAGACCCATCCATGACCCATCTTCAGTGTTCTGGCTGAGGGAAGGAGGTTTTCTTCCAAGATTTTACAGTACATGGCCCCGTTTATTTGCCTCTCAATGCGGTGAAGTCGTCCTGTACCCTTAGCAGAAAAACAGCCCAAAGCATAATGTTTCCACCTCCGTGCTTGACTGTAGGGATGGTGTTCTTGGGGTCATAGTCAGCATTTCTCTCCCTCCAAACACGGCGAGTCGAGTTAATGCCAAAGAGCTCAATTTTGGTCTCATCTGACCACAGCACTTTCTCCCAAGCCTTCTATCAGTAGGGGATCAAATAAATATTTTCCCCACTGTAGCGGTCTATGAAATAATCAGTTGGAAGAGTAGGTAGAGATTTTATTCAGAACCAGTTTAATGTATAAAAAAAAAACAAAAAAAAAACAACTTTGGTTTTGTTAACAGGTATTGCACATGCCAACATGGACAAAACACCATATTAATATACTCTGACCTCGTTTGTTGAAATACTTGTTCAGCAGTGCAGCAAACAGAAGTGATTATTATTTATTTATTTATTTATTGTTTTTAGTGAATCACAAACATTCAGTACTTCCTGATTCTTTAACGAATAATTCTAATGAGTAGGATTTTATAAAATCAAACACGTACAACACATACAAATCCATATTAGTAAGCTATTCACTTTTGGACAGAAATTCTACACATATTTTATGCTAATTTCTGCAGGTTTCTTTCTAAGCTGGCAGTTCTTAGACAGAACAAGCAGCAAAGTGGACCAGACTTTATGGCAAAAGTCAAAAGACCGCCTACATAAGACTACCACTCTGAACTGTAGCATGTTAGTGATTTTGTACTTGTGTGTGCATTTCCAGCTGTGGATTGTGTTTGGTTAATCAGTGTTGACTAGTTCACTTCTATATAAGGTCTGAATTCACAACAGTGAGGATCTGATAACTTACCACACCCCGTATAACCTGGGCAATGTACAGGTGAGTCAAACAGACTTTAACAAAACACACATCACCTTTTAAAATATGCCGTTAGCATTCATGCCAAAGGTTAAATGTCAAACCCGTGCTCTCACACATAATACCTAAAGACACTGGAATAGAGCTTGACGCATGACATCACCTCACACACATGTAAAGCACACTGTGTGTGCGTGGTAACATAAGACTGGCAAACAGGAGATAGATCCAGCCTTCATTGATGAAAGACAGAAAGGAAAAGAAAATCTCATTAATAAAATGCCATTTTAAAAGACCTTGTTCTACAGTATTGTAGCAGATTTTTCATCTATCTGAAACTAAAAATACAAGTGGTTTTTGCTACTGTACCTTTAAAAATTCTATATGTAAACAAGCTCTGTTATGACTGAATAACAACACTGCATGTAAAATAATGTGTGTGCTAACACTTGTGCTTACAGATGTGCATCAGTAATCAACTAGAAAACTTGTTCTTAACGTAGTCTCACATGTAACTAGATTCAGTTGTCAGTTTTACCTTTTAGTGCTTAATTCCGGTTCTGTACACACACAGTTCAGTAATTTACAGGAGTGACAACCGCATTCTACAACCAAATTAACTCCTAAAAAATTCAGGTAGTGACAACAGCATTTGTAGAAATTTTACTCCGTGTGAACAGAACCAAATAAGAATGTAATGATGCACCCCAAGCTGACTGAAAATCAATTAAAATATCTGACGATTCAAGTTGGTTGAGATGTTAAACGAATCGCGATACACTTGGGGGTGGGGGAACTGAAGGAAACTGACTGTCTTCAGAAAAATGTAGATGGTATTTTCTTTTCATCTTGCCTCTGTATAATGCCTATTAAAGTAGTATTTATAAGCACAGTGCTGCTTTGTTTACAGCAGTTAGCAAGTAAACGCTGTATTGCTGATGTTCATAAGCGCCACCTGTTGTCAGAGATTGAATTTGCGTTTTCATTCAGCCCGTCAGCTGTTTTTGTTTCATTCAGATGTTTTATGTAGTTGAGTTTCACAAAGCTAAAATCAGGCCATCCTGTTTTTGCTTCAAATTTCGAAATTATAAAAAAATAATTTAAAACAAAAACTGCTCATGCTGCATATATGCAGCATCTTTGTTTGGATTTTGATTCAAATGCAATGGTTGCCTCTAATTTAAAATGGAAAGAGCACAGGCAAAGCCTTAGTTTGTTTATATCAAGAGATTTCTTTTATTTGTATTATTTATGTATTTGATTTAGGATTTGTTTTAAAATTTAAATTTAGTTTTGTTATTTGACATTTCAATTTTGCAAAGAAATGTGCAGCATTTTGTCTGAGAAACAAAAAAGGACACCTTTTCATTTATAATTTTTCTTAAATCTCATTTTGTTAAAAAAAATCGTAAATCATATCACATCTTGAGTCGAGTTAATCATTACATCCCTAGAACCGAACTGAAGAACTAGTTTTTAATGACGTATTTAAATGTGTATCGCAGTTGTGTCTTCCTTTTGTATGTCTTTCTTAGGTCAAAAATAGTGAATAGCAAACACACGAGAGGGCATGTAGCTATCTAGCCTGTTTCTGTCAATTAGAGCATATGTGAATTAGGTTATGTTCTCACCCAAGTCGTTGTTTTTTGTGATTGCGGCAGCAGCACGGGATCTGGGACCCTGCTGGGTGAAGTGGTACCCAAACTTCACGATGCTTGTATTCTGCTCCAGCATCTTAGCGATCTCCATCTCTGTCGACGTACCGAGCTGCTGCCGCTGAGAGCAGAAAACAGAAAACACCGGAAACATCTCTATTACACATGCTTACATAAGCCCACAGACAGACATTTCACTAAGAGTAACATTTGAATTCAATTTGCATAGTGCCGGCAAAATAGCAGGGTTTTAACACATTTCAACATATGTACAAAAATAGATGCAGCATAATTCATTATACTTATAATGCATGTCCCTACATTGATCAAATAACTGAATTAAGACCTATTTATGCAGTGGTCTACTAACACAAGCATTTAAAACTAGTGCTGTCAAACGATTAATCGCGATTAATTGCATCCAAAATAAAAGTTTTTGTTTACATAATGTGTGTATACTGTGTATATATTTATTATGTATATATATAAATACACATACAGTATATATTTTGAAAATATTTAAATGTTTATACATTTATATATTCATATTTTTATATTTTATATTATATATAAATATATTTAATACATAAACACAACATATTTTTCTTAAATATATATACACACATATATTATGTAAACAAAAACTTTTATTTTGGATGTGATTAATCATTTGCCAGCACTATTTAAAACCCATTAATGTTATTGTATTAATTATGCTATTCTAATTGCAGTATAAATACTAGGGCTGCCCTCTAATAGTCAACTAACCGTTAGTCGACCAAATTTTTTTTAGTCGCAGAAAAAAAAAATCCACATGCAAAGTCATGCAGTCCGTGATGGACAGATCGTTAACGGCTGCTCTTTGTGGTAATACAGTACATCGGGCAGGACATCCAAACGCTCATCTATCTTTCATCAACCTCAAATATGGCTTATCATCTGAAATATTCAAGTATTAGCAACTTTACATGGCTGCTCAATCAAATGTTAACCTAGAAAATGTGTGCTGTTCAAGTGTCTGGTGCGGAGTGTGGAAGCTGAACAGTAGCGCTCACTGCAGGACAGATGGAGTCACTTACTCCATAAAATACTCCCTCATTTTCGGTCATACAGATAAGAGTAATATATCTTTCGAATTTGTAAAGACTCTACATTTATTTGTGTGCACTCACAATAATAACAAAACATTTCACTTTTGTAAAATAATGAAAGCAAACAGGATGCGATTTCTGCCATCTGTGAACAAGCTTTATGCGTGCTTGAGCACTTATAGGCTATGTAGGCAATTAAAGGCTCAATATAATGATTGAAATGGTTTATTAATAAATGTGCTATTAGTCGACTAATGCTTAAAATGAACGACTCCTAGTCGACCAGAAAAATCTTTAGTCGAGGGCAGCCCTAGTAAATACATTCATGCTATCTCTGAACAGTCTGTATGAATATACCTAAATGCCACATCTGATGAGGCTTCCGAAAATAATGTTATGACCACATTGTTGCCAAAAAGTTTGTGTAATAAATTCTATGGTGAATCAAAATATTTCTTTCTAAAGCTACTTACAATTTTGCAACGTCTATTTAATACTTTTCTCATGTAAATGTAAAGTTACATTAAATGATCTTTTGGGGGGTAATTTCTCAGCCCAAATTTATGTGCGTTTAATTTGATTAATTAATCAGCACACTACATAATTAATTAGTTAAGATTTTAATTGCCTGACAGCCCTAGTAATTACATATTAAGGTAATGCTATATAATCATGACATGGTTAATTCTGCTGGAAATAAATGTTCTCTCATTTGATGATTTTTTTTTTTTGTAATGCAAACAAAAAGATAAGATTATTTATTATAAATGAATGACAAGTCTGGCATCGGTACAAAAACAGCGTTGCATTATGTAAAAAGAAGGCAGATCCAAAATTTAGCACGAACTTTCAAAAAAAAAAAGAAAAAAAAAAGTATGTCAAAGTTGACTGGATGAGTCACACTGAAGATGCTGTATTTATTTATATTTATATTTATATATATATTTATATATATATATATATTTATATATATATATATA